TTAAATATTAAGGAGCCAGGGCTGCCGCCCCCTGGATCCCCGCTTTCCTTTTTGTTTTAAAAACGTTTACGTTCACAGTGGGTTATTTTCCCGCTTCTGAGGTTATAAAGTTTTCCATCTACTAAAAACTGATCAGACGATCACTGGCAGATAGAACACTTCCATTCACATTCATATTGACAAGAAGGACAGACAAAAATGATTGGGGGAGAAAAAAGTTTGCCAACTTCAACAGCGGCAAAATAGTCTTGTGCCAAAAGCTTCAGTTCAACTACATGATTTTGTTGGTACTGGATGGAATGGTGTCCCGCATCGTCATGGCGGTTTAAGAAATGCTGGCAATACCTGTTTCTTAAATGCTAGTCTGCAGGTGTGTTATGTGTATGGCACTTGGTTGCTCCTTTAACCACTAATTGTGTACTGTTTTTGTAGTCTTAATTTGTTTTCCACAGGCACTCTATCACGTTCCCAGTTTTGTAAACGTCATTACTAGAGATGATGTTCATCGCTCTTCCTGTCATAATCGACTTAGTTGCTGCACTTGTGCTGCCTTTATGGCTTATAAAAATTTAACTACAAATATAGTCAGCATTCCAACAACTCTCGTAATGCTCCTTCCCAGTAAGTTGTTTTCTTTAAGCCTGCGATATGATGGATTGTTTTTGAAGTGTTGAATTTATCATTTTGTCCTTTTTGTACTTATAGAAATTGGTAAGGGATTATTGACAAGGGGGAAGCAGCTAATAAAGCAACAGATAATTCTTAATCTTATTAATTGTTAGATAGGTAATTCTAACAGAAATGTGTAATTTCTTTAAATATAGTCAAATGCGTGAATAAGGAATGTGGCAAGGTCTCAAGCACAACATACAGCGTGCACCGTATGGTGTGGATTCAGCCTGAGGTGGAGTCTGTTCAGCAAGGAGTAGAAGAATTTTTGCAAGGGATAATTCTAGATGACTGTTTCTGCCAGACATGCAAAGAAAAGAAAATGATGAAATATGATTTCTTCTAGCCCCCAAATGTGCTGGTAGTTGCCATCAAAAGGCACGTACAATTATTCTTTTTCCTTCTACATAGTTGTCTCACCCACATCTTTACAGCAAATTGTTACATGTCTGCGCAGATTTGATTATGAAAGTGGTAAAGCTAGAATAGTAACGGGTAGTGTTTGCATTGATGAAACTCTACAAGTTCCAAGTTTGTATTCACATATTTTTTTATATCTACAGTACTGTTCTATCCAAATACTATGAAGCGCTCAAAAATTACTTATATCTAAAAGCAACCAACTGCATTTGAATCCAGCCCCCTTTCTTATCATTGCAGATTCCTTTAATGGGAACAAGTATGTGTACCAATTCCGTAGTGCTGTTATTCATGAGGGACCGGATCTTGGGAGGAGTGGTCACTACTTCACAATAGCATCATGCCCAGATGGTTCTTTACATTTGTTCAATGATTCCACTGTATGTGATTGGTATGTTACAAACAACTTAGTAAATATTATCTAGCTTTCTTTAATTTCAGTCTTCTGACCTAGGTTTCTCAAATCCAGTCATTAAATGAATCGTGTTACCAAACTGGAGTTTACCTGATTTTTTATGTCCTGCAGGTTTGTATTGTCATATTTTGGCTTGTACTAGTACCATATGTTTGGTAGAAATGTAACTATATCTCATTATATATTCTAGCGTGGGCCCAGGGTGGATCCAGGAACCTCATCAATAGCAGAAGTACACGAAAGAAAATGTCAGTGTCAACTAAGAAAAGACCAATGGTGTCTACCCCAAATAAAAGCCCATTTCGGAAGAAGTTCACACCGCGATGCGCTCTAACGAAAGAGTCCGATCTGCTTTGCTGCTGAACCAAAAGAGTCCGATCTGCTTCGCTGCCAAACCAAAAGAGTTCGATCTGCTTCGCTGCCAAACCAAAAGAATCCGATCTGCTTTCGGCGCTCGTCGACCGCTCCGCATAAACTCTCTGATATCCCGAAGCTTGAAAGGAAAAGTGTATATATTTTAGGGTGTACACATTCGTTAAGGTTAGGGTAACAAGCAAGTCTTTTTATTTTGTGTATATTCAAAATATCCGAGGAGTTATGGTCCTCCAAAGATGCCTTACGTTCCATCGCCGAAAAGCAGATCGAACTCTTTTGGTTTGGCAGCGAAGCAGATCGAACTCTTTTAGTTTCGCTGCAAAGCAGATCGGACTCTTTTGGTTCAGCAGCAAAGCAGATCGGATTCTTTCGTTAGGGCGCATCGACCGTCAATGTTCATATCTCCTAAACGTTAAAGAAAGTCTTTGAAGAGACTGGCTTTTGACTCGACAAAACCTCCAGCAATTGATGAGGATGATACTGATTTGGCTGTGGTAAGACAATAACTTGCATATATTACCTAAGAATACGTTGGGTAAGAATTACAGGAAAAATTCGTAAATACATTTACAGAAATACTTGGTATTAGTTTTACAGAAGTTTTGTGGCGCACCTACTTGCTCTACTCGCCCTGCGATCGGTATCTGGCCAGCGGCCATCGAGCAGTGACTGCGTAAACGCTGCAGTTTCTGCGTGCACAAACACACATCACTCTGAAAAATATCGCCGTAAATTTATGATATATTGTGTAATTAAAATTTACAAAACATTTCGAAAGTTGATGACACCCTTATGTTGCACGTCGATTGATTCAAAGTCAGTCAGTTGTGCTTTTAATTTTACAATGTTGAATCGTTACTTAACTTACACGCCTCATGAAAAATTTTCGCACACTTTATAGAGCTGAACATACGTTTGTCGGCCATTACGCCACCAGGTATGTTTGGTCTCGAGCTCGCCTCAGCCAGGGCCTCTGAAGAGACCATCTTGGGAGCGATTCAGCCCTCAAGATACGTAAGTCTGGTCCTGGGGTATATCCTCTTAAGGGAATCCGATCGGCGGATCGAGCGACCGACCGAGCGATCGAGCGATCGAGCGGGCCGGAGAAGCGTAGGGGACACGAAAAACGGTGTAACAAGGCCGAATGAACTTCAAAGAAGGTAAACCCATACATTGTTAGAAAGGGGAAAGTACGAGGATTGTTATTCCGGAAAAATATTGGTGCTTTGAAGTCAAATGTGGACGTCAGGAGGATTCGTAAGACGATTCAGTTCTCAAGTGTACGACGGCTGATTTGAAACAGTTAAATCTCATGTTTAGATACCTCCTAGACATAAACATGAAGCGAGCCGATTGTTCGCTTGACTTTAAGCTTTTTAGTCGACTTTTTGAAATTTATCTACGACGCCTGGTTCTCAAGAACTGAGCGTTTTACTGGAAGCGTGCTGCTACTATCCAGGTGGAACCGCCAGGGAGGGGAGGGGGCTGCACCCCCTCCCCTCCCTCTCTTTTATCAGACTACAGTGCTATCTAGCGTTAGCAACATAAAACAACTAGCAAAACATAGCAGATGATCCCGCCCAAGTGTTGTGGTCGAAAGGTGCATTATTGTGTTGAAGGTTTTGAAGTTTACGAACTCTTGCTGTTTATGCTTCATACTTCTTGTCTTGAGCAAAACAAAGTTCATAGGAATTTGTAATTTGGAGATGGCTGTACGACCCTTGAATCGTTGGCTTCCATTCATCCAATTTTTTCAAGAATTCTTGTTGGATGATGGTGAGGAAGTGTTGGTTATTTTAATGTGGGTTATATATATTCTTGCTGCAATGAAAATTATTTCTACTGATGGCACTGCTTGCTATTTTACAGGCGATGATGAGGACGAGACGAAATGGGAGAAAATAACTGTGAATATAGAGGAATTTCGTATAATGGGAGATCCCTCATTTCGTTTGCACTTTCGTCTTACCAAGCCCATGTTTGAAGTCAGTATTTACTGCCTTATATTTTTAATTAATAATTATAATCTTCTAGTTGTCTCTTTACTAATTATTTCTCTTCTTTTGTACTGGATCATGGAACTGCGGATAAAAGATAAAACAATCAATTGCACTGGAATTTGTGAACACTAGAGATAAAGCTTTACACAACTTACATTTAGAATTACTGTTCCCTCATTTTCATTATGATCATGAACTTTAAATTCTTTAAAGTTCTCCACTTAATCCTTAAATTTCTTGTTCATACGCTTTAGAAAATGATCCTGATGCAGAAATTTAAGACACACACTAATTTGTTTGTAGAAAAAAAAATATGAGAAGTACTGTTGATAATAAAAGATTAAGTCTCCTTACCTCTGTGAATGAGTCAGGTAGATTAGATACTAGAACTTTTCCAGTCCTCACAATAACCCCCTGGGCTTTGTCTAAATCAGAGTGAAGGGTAACCCATGATAACAGATCTGTACAGTAGGGCCCCGGAGGGTGGCCGGTTGGGCACCCAGTTGAGGGCCGGTACAGACCCAGTTGAGACCCAGGGAGACCCGGTTGGGACCCAGTTGGGCCCCGGTTGGGGTCCGGTTGATATCCGGGTGGGGCCCGGTTGGGGCCCGGTAGGGTACCTAGTAAGGGCCCAGTTGGGTATCCAGTAGGGGGTCCGCAGGGGTTTGAGTTGGTACCCGGTTGGGTAAAAATTGGCCGCTGTGAGGGGCTCCGTCGGCAGCGCGCCAGGATGCCCGGTCACGCCCCAAGGGGGCACCAGTTGGGGCCCAGATGGAGCTTAACTG